TTCTCACGAGGTGAAGACTATTCAGAGATAATAAAAAAAGAAAAGAAAGCCGTAGAAATACATAATCGCCTATATGTTGAATATATTCTTTTGACAATGATGTTCGTTCTGTACAATGCCCAAGAGCCACTCAGAGTATGAGTTACTATTTATGGAGATACGCGGAGAAGATGAGAGTTAACTCTCGATTTGAACAGGTTAAGAATCTAGTGATCGAAGAAGCATCCTCTTGGGAGTCGGTTCCACAAAGCAATGGTTCGTGTGAAAAATCTGCTCGTGTGAACCTTACGAGCTCACCAATGGAATACGAAGGAAAAGGGGCTGTTTCGCTGCAATGTGCGTGGTATGGTAGGTCTTGGCCGTAATGCTTAAAACTGGTGTAACTTAGGAATGTATTTCGTCTAAGCACTTTTCATAAAATTAAAAACATCTCTCCCAATTTGTAAAAGCCTTGTCAGCCCAACCCATATTAAAATAGAATAAGTGATTCCCGAACTTAGCCGAGTCATTGTCGCAAGATATTTTGTTAGCCCCGCCCTTTTTTTTATACTTACTCTTCTTTTAGCACCCCTACTCGAACTACTGTACTATACATATAAATATAATGGTCGAAGCTCAGATATGGGCAGAGGTCAAATTACATTCAATAAAGCTACATTACAAGCTTTAAAATTCGTCTGTCTTTTTTTTTTTTTACAAATACTCAAAGTTTCTTTATTGGTCGACAAAAAAACAATGCTCTTTGCCAATATTGTAGTTTTTTTTTACAGATTCAGTTGAACGGACTTTTTTAAAAGCATTTCACGCCAAGCAAGGTGAGAGTACCACTACCACGCAAAGGGTTACAGAGGATTGAGAACAAGAGTAAAGAGGCGTGTTTGAGGAAAGGATACAGAGAAGAACGGAGAACAAGATCAAGGTATCACAAGATGTCGATTGACATTACAGTTGAATATTTGAAGATTATAGTTATCGGGGAAGTAAGCAAAAGGATGGGAGTTCCACAGACGGGAAGTGCAAGGGAAGAAGCTGTTTGCGAAGAGACGGTTACACTTAACCGTTTTGACAGTGAAAGGATGGGACCGAGATGCCAGCCTAGTAGCTCATTTAAATTCATGTAGTCTGGGAACCAGAGAAAGCTACTCGTCGGAACAGTTGCCGTGAAAATACTTATAGGAAAGACAGAGGGAAGCTACGGCACGTCTGTGAGAAAGTGACTGTAGCCGAGATGCCAGATCAGGACCTATCACATTGCATATCCATCTCTGGAGTTTTTCAAGGATCTCAAGACGTATAGCGGGGGCATCTGACGATATATGACAGCAATATTCCATGCAAGGGCAGATGGTTGATTTATAGATTTGAAGGATGGATTCAAACGAGAAAAAAATTTTGGCACGACACAGAGAACCAACTTTCCTTGCGGTAGATGAAGCTATTGGGTTTATGTATTTGTTCCACCTCATATCAGCGAACAGCATGAGACTAGGCAGGTTGAATGAAGTTCTCTCGTGGAGTTGGGCATTAGCCATTCTGATGGGAGGCAGGGAGGGTTCTCTGTTGTGGGTAAATGAGAACAGTTTCGTTTTGGAGGCATTGAAGTTTACAAGCCATTTCCTTATAAAATTCAACCACAGATTGGAGGTCCTTTTCCAGATCAGCAGCCATGTTAGTTTTATCAACAATACCAGTTTAACTATCGAGGCAAGAGTAAACAGTAGTGTCGTCCGCGTAGATGCCTACTTGGGAACTGATGACATCGGGAAGATCGTTTATGAAGACTGGGAATCCAAGGGGGAGCCTTTGGGAACACCGTCGTTCTTGATAAACAAGCAGAAGGAGAACTCATTTAGGACTAAATTCATTTCACGGTTTGACAGGAATTATTGTATTAAGTCAAATAATCGTCCTGAAGAGATATTGGAATATTTCTCACTTGTTAACTTGTTTGGTTGCGAGAGAGCTCTACAAAAATATTGTGCATTCCAAGAATTGTGTTGTTTTGTCTTTAGATCTAATTAGCGATGTCTAGTTTTAATTATTTTTTATTTTATCGTGACAGCTGTCATATCAGCGTGTATTTAAATACAACTTTTGTCAATATTGGCATATCTTTTGTTCATTGGCAGAAAAGACTGAAGAAACGAGAGAGAGAAGCAGTCTAATGTAAACACACTTTCTTGAGATATTTTTTATATGTTTATCTTTTATTATAGCATAAAACGCAAGAGATGGTGCGGAAATTTAACGAAGTGCATCTAAATAAAGACCGGCACTCTATATCGGAAAAAGAAAAGAAAAGAAAAACATAATGCTTTGCATATAATGGGATTCGAATAATTTTCTCTAATATGAGTGCCTTGCAACGAACCAAACGCTTTTGATTGAAATTAATATTGAAGGCAGCAATCGATGAAAAGTATTCATAATTTCTTAACCGAAAGACTGTAATATTCAATCAGGATAACGCAAGACAGGAATGCGCGATTGTTTGGTGAAAACAATTTCGTTGGGCTTATCGGGGAAATTGTCATTCGTTTATTGTATTCACTTGATATTAGAACCTCGGATTAACAAGAATTTCCGTCTACAATATATTCTCTATGTAAATAATATACTGTTAGGAAACTAGTCTCCCTAGTCAAACAAAAGTTATCGCCCTTGATAACTCTCTTGACAGGATAACAATTATGTCAGTGTACCGCTTGATAGTTTCACTGGGTACAGTTTCCAATTAATTGTAATCCGTTAGTGTATTTTTGTTTTTCTTCCGTATTAAAGATATTTCTCAACATCAAGAATCTTTACCGGTTATTTTCCCTGTAACATTAGAAATTAAATCTAAAGTGAAGTTACAACACATACAATTCCCTGGGTGACTGCAAAAGAAACTTCAAGCAGTTCTTTATTGAAAGCAGAATACCCTTGCTTAAAAAAATCCCCTAAAAGACCGCAGAAGGAACATAGAGCATTTCTATGTTGGAAAATAAAGTTTCTTGGAGGTTATAACTGCGAAGTTGCCTGAAGATGGCAGAAGGGAGCGAAAGAAAATGATTAACATGTTTTTCAATAATAATAATAATGCTGAGAGCTTTTAAAAATAACGTTTTTCAACCAAAATCATTTTTACGTTACTCCAAACCTTTAAATGTTATTTTATACATTTCAGTCAACATAACTCTAATGATAAAAGAATGCAGGTTTAGGCTTTAAGAAAGGTTTCTACAACTAAGAATACAAGGCTCGCGTATACTGTCCTTTTATATTCCCAGTAAACAGAAATAAATCTCTCAGAGAGGAGAGTAACAAAACAAGGGGAGACCACTCTTAATTATTCATAACAATATCTAATGTTTTTTTAATAGTCAGTAGTTTAATTAGCAAACCGCACAACATTGGTGATTAGAGTTTGACAGTAAATGTCTGTAAAGGTAATAATTTTGCAAGACAGTGGTACTCTTTACATTTCGGTTGAAAATGGATCATTTTCTGTTCCATACATATATTCGTTTGGTTTTGTATTGCTTTTTCGTTTTACCTAAAAGTATAAGGTATAAATATTGAGAAAACGATGGAAAGTATTTCTTATCAAAATATAATCGTTGTACAAATATATTTTTATCCAAATATATATAGTAATACAGGGTGATTTAAAATAATTTCCCATTTTATAATACTTATAATCTATTTATTAATTATAATTTTACAAGAAATAAATATGAGAGGAAAGCTTTTAGTATGAAATTTTATTTAACATTCAATATGGAGACCAGATTTCGTTAGCAGATTCTCGAACCGACGAGGAATCTTGTCAATTGATTTCACCAGAAACTCTTATGGTATAAAAGACTTCTTGTATTCGCCCTTCAATTCGTCGAAAGAACTTCTATATCCAACACTATCACTTGATAAGACACCAGAAGTGTTGAAACAAAATGGTTATTTTTGTAGTGATTTTATAATATATTTATGTTATAATTTTCGAATAAATAATTATATATATATATATATATATATATATATATATATATATATATATATATATATATATATATATATATATATATATATATATATAGGTATGTGTGTGTAAAATTTTAGGTAGACTATATATGTAAAAGGAGAATATGAATAAAGACTAAAAGAAAACTTATCTTAGTTAACACGTTTGGTTCTCAAGGCAAATGACATTTGCGTTGATAATTCCCTCAGAAAACCAAACGCGTCGGCTAAGATAAGTTTTTCTTTTTTATTTATTCATCTATATATACATTAAATAATTTTGTCTTCACTTTGTACAAATTTCCTTGAGAAATGCATGCGTTCAATATACATGTCTACTTCAGGCCGTCCATAGTCCAACCAGTATACATCTTCATGGCGCCTTAGTTTATTATGGCACGAGACCAAATACAAATAAATGTCGCTTGGAAAATAATGTTGCGTGCCATTCAGGTAAAAGGAAAATCAGAATCCAAAATTCTGAATTTGTACCTGTATTTGTACATTGATCAATAGTGCCAGTTAGGAACATCCTAAATTTCGACTGCAAATTCTGTTGTACAATGCTCGGAAAAGTCATGAAACCACTTCTCCCTGTGCTCCTTTAAATCATTGTGATAAATTGAAGATTATGTTTCGCATGCTACAGCGCTTGATTGAAAAGAGAGTGGGTGAATAAGCACTTAATAAAACCACTCCCCGAAAAGTAATTTACGTACCCAGGTAATAGCAACAATAAAAGAAATTCTGTTACACCTATTGTAAACCTTGACTGAGTGTTGGACACTTTATTGTGCACCATCCCGTCTGACAAATTAGCAGGAGCGTAAGTGACATTGGTTCCGTACGAAATAAGATGTTTACGAAACGTAATGGAAAAATAAAAGTTGGAAGTAGTTAAATTAAAGAAAAGGGAATAAAACCTGACATACTGAAATTCCAGGAGTGTGGTCGGAGAAGACAGAGTAGCGTCAATAATGGAAAGTTTTGTTATAAGTTTAATAGATGATTCGCTCACTTGACGGTGGTGTTTGAAGAACAGGCTTGTTTGGTCCGCATATGTGTACAACAGGTGCGGTCGACGTGTTAGGAAGACAACTGAAGTTTTGCGAAGAATTGTGGAACTGATTCTTATTTCGTGAAGTGAAGAGCGAAAATATTGTCAGGGCTGGGTGGGGTTTTTGATAGAGCATGAGAACGGAAAATGGGGAGAAGGAGAAATGAAGGCTGCCGGGAAGGATTGGGATAAAATGGCAGAGAAGTAAAAAATAATAGAAAGAGTGAAATAAATGGCTGCTTAGAAAGAAGAAACTGAATTGATTGAAGAAAAAGAAGACAGTTTCAAAAGAGAGAGAAAGAGGTCGAACAAAAGAGGTCGAACGAAAAAGGGTAAGACGTAAAAAATAATTAACTGTTTTTTTTTATCAATCCTTTGTGGATGCTTTAAAGACGGAACATATATTTGGATCATAAGAATAATTATTTTTTTGCGAGTTGCTATTTCTTTAACAATTTTCTTGAGGATAACAATGATTTTTCCAGATAGAATTTCTACTATATAACCGTTACTTTTTCCAATGGGTATTTGAACGTAAGTAAAGGTAACGGGCACGACTGGAATTCGAACTCGTGTAAGAGATTAACTCCTAGTATTACCAACGATAACATTACACTTTTATTATTATTCATGGCATATCGATATCCTTGCATTCGTCCCGATTATAATTGCTGTGAAATATTTTCTGATCGTCTTCAAACGAAGAACTGCATAACTATTTTCAGTTGCATTTTAAGCGGTTTGGTACAATTAGCAGTCGAAAATCTCTCTAAGTGATCTCATTTTTGGTAAAGCTAAAGAAAAAGGTACTAGACTGCTATGTAATATTAGTCCTCTTATATGGTAATGAATGCTGGATAATTGTCTCAGAGATGAAGAAGAGACTTGAAGCAACAGAAATGTGTCTAAAAAAAGGATGCTGGGAATAAAATGGACACAACATGTGAACAATGAAAATGGTTTAGAGAAATGGATACAAAAACAACATATATATTTAACACCCGGAAGAGACACTAAAAATGTCTAGGGCACAATTTGATACTTACAGGACAGATTGAAGTTTATAGGGTCAGTGGAAAACAACCCATAAGCTAACATCAGGAAGCGAAAGTTGAAATTTCTAGGGTACAAATGAGGAAAGAGGGCTTGAAAAATTTGATACTCACAGGACGGATTGAAGGCAAGAAGGACAGAGGAAAATAACGTATAACCTACTTAGTGAGCTTGAGTAAAAAGATGGTGGAAGACGTTTTAGGGGAGATAAAAAAAAAGACAAAATTTATTAAGAGCTACAAAGGATAGGAAAATGTGGAGAGTCATTATCACCTACGTCCTGAAGGGACATGGCTAATAAAGTAGAACAAGCTAGAATAAATGGATGGTGGAAGAAGGTTTAGGAGAGATAACAGAAATTCGATCACTCATTTGTCTATTGATTTTATTTCAATTTTTCTTCTCCAAGACAAATTACCTTTCATCGGAGTTGTCTGTTCCTCGCACCCATAAAATAAAAAAATAAAAAATAAAAAAATAAAGTAAAATAAAAAAAAAATTGTATCAAATTCATGTGTATTCATATGGTTAAATAATTTTGTGTGTAATACATTCCACGGAGCGCACAGATACTACGCACTGATTCTGGTATTTATTTGTCTCCTAAGTATGTGAATGTCAGTACGTAAATGTGGGCAAAGGACAAACACTTGCCTCCGTAATCAGTGCCCCTCAAGCGTCAAAATATGACAACAATCCTGTTTGATATATAATGGGGAACATACTGTCGTGGAGTTGGGATCTTCGAAGCGAGACACGCCTCATTGCTGAGTCGTAGAATTCCTGAAGACAGAAACAAAGCGCTGTAAACGCACCATTGTTCGAAAAAAAAGTCAGAAAAAGTGGAATTGATGTTGAATTCTGATTCTAGGTAGAACGCACAGATATATCGGTCTTCAGCAGAAATGACGATCCATAGGTGTATAAGAGTGTAATGTAGTGTTTACCCGTACTAATATTACTACTATTACTACTACTACTACTACTAATAATAATAATATGTGAGTTCAGTTGGGACTGTGACTTTGAAATCTGAGGAGTATTGTTGAAAATATACACATCCCGTCCTAATCTGCGAGGATACAGAGATACACATTTAAGGGAAGTTGCCCTCATTCAGTCCCCAAGAATGACCAAATAGCTTGCGTAAACAAACATTGAAATGCATGAAATATAATAATAATAATAATAATAATAATAATAATAATAATATGGCAGTCTCTGCTGACTGCAATGTATCTTTGAAGATATTCAAAAAGTTGTCAAAATACAAGGACCTTGAAATAGAAATCTCGAAAATGTGGCATATGGGAACATCAACAATCTCTGTTGTAGTTGGAGCCCTAGGTTTGGTTGGCAAAGATTGCAGTAGACTAATTGAAAGGATTCCTGGAAGTCCATGCCTCAAGGAGATACAAAAAATTGTTCTGACAAGTACAGCCCACACCTTACGAAGGGCTCTATCTATGTAATTTAATTATTTTTTTTTTGTCAGTGGAAAGTGTCAGGACGCCATTTCTAACCTTAGGTCCCTGGTGGGGACCTGGAAAGAAATGTGTAAACGCCAGAAATCAAAGAAAATAATAATAATAATAATAAGGAAACAGGAATAATAGTAATAATAACAACAATAATAACAATAATAATAATAACGACAAGAATAATAACAGTAACAATAACAATGATTACAGATACAAAACAAAAAACAACAACACCATCAACAACAACGACAACAATAATGATAACAATAATATTAATAATTTTTTCAATACAGTAAAATTATGAAAATTTGCAGGATAAAGGCATTATAGTTCCTACTTTTTTGTAGAAATATGCAAAATTAGCAAAATTAGCCTTTTTTATGAACTTAGAGAAACAATTCAGGGTGGTCCCAAACTTTTCATCAATAATATATATATATATATATATATATATATATATATATTGTCATCCACAGACAGACAGTTTCACAACTCATTAGTGTAGCTAGACATCCGATTACCTCAGGCCGGGGTCGAAATCCAACTGATTTGGTATCAGTCGGAGAATTTACCATTGGGGCACGGTAGGGATGAAGACAAACACACCAGTGATCGGAGAAGTCAATTCGTCTTAACGAAGAGTCTTGCATCAACAGCACTAATAGTCACTATTTACAAATTCCCCTTTTTCTCGCTGCAGAACGGTAAATGTAATTAATACTGTTTAATAAAAAAACAAAAACAAAAACAAAACAGAACATTTATCTAAATAAATTGCATCTATTAAAATAACGTATAAACAAAAAATATATTAAATAATTGTCAGACTTAATCCATTTCATAATATGATGTCAATGTTTTATGTTAACGTTCGTTTCCTGAACGGATATGACCGTTCGGGAAAGAGTGTCAAAGATTTGTTGTTTATAAACAGTAATTTGGACTCTGCTAACCGGACACTTCTCTATAGCGAAATGGCATAGCACGCCAGAAGAAATGACGGTTCCAAATAGAATACAGGTTCGATTCCTGTTGTAGAACGCATATATTCCACGGAATTTCTTGAACATTCACGCCGGTATAAAAACATTTACTTAAATAAATTGTATGTATTAAAATAACGTTCTTGTCGGACTTAATCCATTTCATAATACACACACACACACACACACACACACACACATATATATATATATATATATATATATATATATATATAGTTGTATGGATAGGAGTTTGTGACCCTGGGTTTCACGCTTTTGTGATCATCAGATTTTGTTTAATGATCTCAAAAGCGTGTAAGCCAGGGTCACCATCTCATATCCATACAACTGAATATGTTAGTCTTATCACTGATATTGAGCACTTTCAAATAAATACCGCGCATGTTTATATATATATATATATATATATATATATATATATATATATATATATATATATATATATATATATATATATATGATCAGTATGAGGTAGATAAGAAGAGACTGACATATAATTAGCTTGAGATACATATATATGAACAGACTGAGATATATAACAATGTCCGGCTACCCGTTTTCTGTGCACAAATATCTGCTGGGCAATTCCTCTTGTAGACGCCCACTCAGGCACATTTGTGCTTGTTCAACACCCACTGATCCCACCTGTAGTTAATACTACAACTATGATGAACAGAAATTTTGTGAGTGAGAGATTTGCTGTGCGAACAATACAAGTACACCCAAATCCTCTGGTACAACCATCTAGACAGATATTTCGATACGAACAGAGAAAGATATGAAAGAATTGACATAATAGGTAGATATCAAGAGACTGAGATATACATGAACAGAACAAGACAGTTAAGAATAGATAGAGACCTGAGAGAGAAAAATAGATATATATATATGTACAGCTTAATATGTGAACAGAATCAAATATATATAAAAAGTCGCTGGAAATTACGTAATTATGGCAGGTGCACTATTGCATTTAAGTATCATCTTCCCGTATACACAGATATATAGATAGATAGATACTGAACAGACATAGATAGATAGATAGATAGATAGATAGATAGATAGATAGATAGATATAAACAGTCTGATATAGTTATTTACATTATTTACATTGTTCGGACTGATATCCTCATCTGTATTGCCATATTCACAATAAGACAGATTCTGTTTCATAGCAATGCACCACATAATTGATGCAGTTAGTTATGTTACTAGTTACAGTCGGTTGATTAGAAAATACTAGAAATGCACCACACATCTGCTTACACTATACACCAAGAGAAATGCGAATGTCAGCATGTGCCATATGTTGTGTATATTTCAGTTTGACTAGGAAGATATTACGAAATTGAACACTGAACAGCGTATGATAAGATACATACATACATTCATACATAGGTATGAACAGACTGCGATAAATAGACAGCTAGATAGATATGAACAGACTGATATAGATAGATATTATTAGACTGAGAGAAATATATATATATATATATATGTGTGTATATATATATATATATACAGATAAAGACGAATGAAATAGATATGAAAAGACATTAGATATATATATATGATTAGACTGAGATAGATATGAACAGAATCAAATATATATGATAAAACGATGACAGACTCGTTACATTTGCAAAGTCTTCGTGAGACAAATTACTTAACTATTGCAGTATGACAGGTGCACTATTGCATTCAAGTATCATCTTCCCGTATACACAGATAGATAGATATAAACAGACTGAGATAGATAGATAGATAGATAGATAGATAGATAGATAGATAGATACTGAACAGACAGGGATAGATAGATAGATAGATAGATAGATAGATAGATAGATAGATAGATAGATAGATAGATACTGAACAGACACTGATATATATATATATATATATATATATATATATATATATATATATATATATATATATATATATAATGAAGAGAGATGTCTTCTTGCAGATATCATATGAGAAAGGCATAGAGAATTAGAAGATGGTCTAGTGAAATAAACTCTTCGGGAGCAAGAGTGAAGAAGATGAGAGAAAGACAGGTAATGCTTAGAAGAAAGGAGAAGGATTTATTTCACTAAAATGCCACACGTTCGAGTGTCTTCTGTTATCAGCCAAACTTATTTACCAGGCGACACTTCCTGCCATTTATAGGCCGCGCCGAACATTATGAAGAAAGCAATCTCTGTAATCACTTTTCCTACGACTTAATGACAGTGAGAACACCAGTTAAGTACTGGGTTTAATACGCGGTTAAGATAGTTACCTGACTTGCAATGTTTCTCGTTCGATCCTAGGTAAAAATATAGAATTCCGATTTTCAAGGCATATGATTTAGTTGATTAGTTTAATACAATCATCGTAATTCTATTTCGCCCCATGACCTTGTACCTTATTCATTCAATATCAATGTCAATCGCAAATTGTGTCTGTTTCATCCCGAAGGCTGTTGCATAATTCACATCAGTGTCAGTGGCTAGCATTCAAACCCAGTCAAAGAAATTGAATGCTGATTTTCGGGGAAGGTTGCACAATCTTGCTTATCCTCGCTCTTGTGCCAATCTAATCTAGTCTTGGTAAATATCTGAGGTTGAAATTAAGAATTGGTAAGATTAGCGGGTTCAGTCCTAACTTGTAGCTTCTTCAGGGTTGTCTTGTGTCAAACTGATCAAACTCTAGTAAATACCAATTGGGTTTGGTCTCACAATTGAGACAGTGTTCTTCGTTCGAGTTCGGCATGTAATTAATAGATTGGCGCAACACAAAATATTTCGAAATGTCTTTGAAGCTTGAAGCTCTATTAGTCCCCCCCCCTGTGATACTAGGTGCAGTGGGAGTAAAATGAAGAGCTGGGATTTTAGAAGATACAGCGGACGTGATAGAAATAAAAGTGTAAGAACATAGGGAAAATAAGTCGCATTTATTTAAGTTTATTGGATGCAGTATGCACCCTAAGCAGACTGAAGATTAAATCGACCGAAAGATTCTGATAAAACAGGAAAATTTAGGAATTGAAATAGGAAATATAATCTGTCTATATTTCTGAGATGAGGTATTATATACACTATTTAATTTATTAGGACTATTGTCCTCATCTTTGTCGCCATATTTATTACAGCATTTCGGCCGTTCTACGCTCCAGCCTTCTTCAGGTGGTTTGAATGTCGAACTGAACCTTTTATTTCGCCCACTGGGGTAGACTGTTCTAGTTCCACGTGCCATGTTTAAGGACACATGGCACAGTGGATAAAAGCGTTAGTTAGATCCAGAGACAGGACCCAAAGAGTGTGAGTTCAATACCCGGTTAAGGCAGTGGAGAACTTGAAGAGGGGAATTAACAAGAGATAACTAATAACTGGCATCCACTAAACATGGCACGTGGAACTAAAACAGTCTACCCCAATAAGCGAAATAAATGGTTAAGTTCGACATTCCAACCACCTGAAGAATGCCGGAGCGTAGAACGACCGAAATGCTGTAATAAATATGGCGACAAAGATGAGGACAATAGTCCGAATAATGTTAATAGTGTACGAAAATATAATATTGAAAGAAAACATTGACTGCATGAATTTAGTGAATGTTGTAAAAAACGTACATTTGGTAAATATCCAGTTATTTTTCAGAAAGTCTCAAGAAATATAAGTACATATGTACTGGAGCATTGATATGCAAGAAACAAGAGGCCAAGTATTTACAACCTTCAGTAAATAAGACTTAATAAAACTAAGTTGATACTTAGAAAAGAAGTTGGTCAAAAACTCCGTGAATTATGTTATTTTTAAGCTTTGTTTAATCCGGCTCAGGATAGTAAATATCCGACAAAGCCTAGTGTTTTGGATTACGCTGTTTAGCTTTCTTTTGGCACTACTAAAATCTTCACTTTGCAGCTTTGGTATAGTTCAGAATCGATTACGCAGTTTTGTGGCGGAAGACAACTTTCTCGGATCGACATTCACCCCATCCATACACAACGTTGCAATCCTAACCCGTACTCTCGCTATTTCAATGGCAAATGTTCAGATGAACTCAATTTTACTTCCTCGGAACCGAATCGCCATCATTTCCCCAGTGTTCCAAATATAATAAAAAAAATATTTCATTCAGATAGCTTTTACTTAAGAACTGTCACTATGTGGCACGGACACACCCGGGTTGATGTTTCCCTGAACCCGTCAGGGGCCAGTCGTCATTTCGCCTTGTTAAATGATGATTCGGGAATTTGGTGATTGTGAGTTCAGTTCCTGAACACGGTAATTGGGACCGAGACTCAAACAGGGTGAGTAATTTCTAGCTGAATAGATTTGTGAATTTGGTATCAGTAATTATGAGTTCGATCCTTGGACCAGGTAGTGTAAACTTCGATCGGTAAGCAATAACTAAGCAGTACTAAATAAGAACAAAACAAATATCCCGAGGCATGAACAGGGGAACGAGAACAATCTAACCTCGGAGATTAAATAAAGCCATCAGTTCGAAATGTTGTGTTAATAATAACAAATTTTATTTAAAGGTATATAATGAATTAAAAATTAAATACATATACATATATACTGTATTTACGTTTATTTGCTATAATTTTGTATTGTACTGGGTGTTTTTAGGCCACGAAAGAAAGTACTTGAAATTAATGGACAAACGATTTTAACAGACGACCTTCTACCCTATTAGTCTGTTTAAGTGAGGTTTCATTGTAATATTACTGAATTATTTTTATTTATCTTCATCTTTGTGTAGCAAACGAGTTGAGCAAATATATAAAATAGAAAGAGGAATAAGCCAAGGTTACGTTATTTCATCCTTTATAGCTTAACTGATCTTTAGAGAAGGAAAAAATTCACTAGGATTTATTATCAGCGGGCACAATCTAAGTAACATAAAATACGTAGACGTCACTGGGTTAATGGTAGACCCAGAAAGGCAACTGTAAGAACTCTTGGACAAAGTTGAAAAGAAATGAATATCTATTAGCTATAAAATACAGAAAAGTATGGTCGCCAGCAAGAAAGAGATTGAATCAAATGCGTGATCGAGAAACTGGAGACATCAGAATGAAGCAGGTACAGAAGTTTAATTATCTGGGTGGTAAAGGCAATGAAAAATAACGCTGAGATCCGAAGGCGTCTTGCAATAATAACGTTCAGAGGCCAAACAAATTTTGTTAGAACAGTGCATTGATCTAGTGAGTAATGTCAATCCTCCTACCTGGAAATGAATACTAGACAATTTCTTCATGTATGAAGATGATATGGCAGGTAACAGAGATGTCTAGTGCGTAATGTCAATCCTCCTACCTGGAAATGAATACTAGACAATTTCTTCATGTATGAAGATGATATGGCAGGTAACAGAGATGTCTAGTGTGTAATGTCAATCCTCCTACCTGGAAATGAATACTAGATTATTTCTTCATGTATGAAGATGATGTCGCAGGTAACAGAGATGTCTAGTGTGTAATGTCAATGCTCCTACCTGGAAATGAATACTAGACAATTTCTTCATGTATGAAGATGATATGGCAGGTAACAGAGATGTCTAGTGTGTAATGTCAATCCTCCTACCTGGAAATGAATACTAGATAATTTCTTCATGTATGAAGATGATGTCGCAGGTAACAGAGATGTCTAGTGTGTAATGTCAATCCTCCTACCAGGAAATGAATACTAGACAATTTCTTCACGTATGAAGATGATGTCGCAAGTAAAAGAGATGTCGTTCCACAGAAACATACAGAGAATACCATGGATTAAATATGTGAGCAATGAGAAAATAAAAAAAAACCCTGAAAAGTGAAAAGACACTTGCACTTTGTACAAGAAAGAAACAGTTGAAATCTCTGGGAAAGAACGAAGAAAGGGGGCTTGGAAAATTTGACACAAACAACATATATTTAAGGTAATAGCAGTAGAAGATAACGGTGAATAACCTACCTAAGGAATTCCTGTAAATGGATGGTTGCAGAGTGGGTACTGGGAGGGATGTTATGAGGTTCAATGATGCTTAGAAATAATAAGGGCATGAAGCTGTGGAGAGTTATCATCACCCGTGTCCTGCACATAAAAAAATAAAAATAAAAAGACGTTTTTCTTATATCAAAACTTTCCCTTTGGTACATTCTGCAGAATTTCTTTTGCGTGTGTGTCAGTGGGGGATTCTTGAGACTCACTCAGAATTTTATTCTAAGATTAGTTTTAAAACATTTAGTTTAGACTTTAAAGGGGGCGTATAATCCTTGCTTCAATGATGGCAAAATTACATGTTAATAAAGTCAGCATATATGATTATATAAGTGACACTAACCCTGCTAGTATAGAAGTTAGTGTGCAACTGACAGATTATTTATAAACTTCTCGGATTGTCGAGTCTTCTACGTATGAATATGAGATTTGTTATTTGGATTTACCTTCTGAAAAATTGTTCCTGTGTTACTTTTTCCTGTAGGAACCCAAGTAAAAGTTTTGATTTCAGAAGCTGATTTTCGAAGATTAATTGTTTTATTATAAGCACAAATTATCTTGTAGAATGCCACTAAATTGACTTACTCAGTAAGGATTAAACTCACTACATTAGCAAAATATAGGGTAAATATTGTGCTACGGTTGGTCTCATTTGTCAAATGACTAAGCAGAGCTTGACCTGGTACAAGGTCATGTATATTAGGTAATGAGAATCAAACTAAATATAAGATGATGTTCCCAATAACTGCGCTATGGTATGTATGCAAAATTAGCTTCTCTTGGAAGAATATTCAACAAGAAATTTCGTACGTGTTAAAACTAGCGTTACATCTGTCTATTTGTAAACTCTTTAAGTATTTAGAATACGAAATTATACTTATATGGCAAATAGTTTACAAATATATTACCTTTTAACTAAAACATTATATTAGTAACGTCTAAGAATACGAGACTAAAATTTTTGTTGGTAAATCTATGTCTATCTATTTTTTTTAGGATGCAATGTACGAACGTTCTATCTTTCTCGTTAGGACATGATAGACACGACCGTTCTCCTAGCGGGTCGGGCGTTTATATAACTTTGTGTCATCCGGTTGTCCGATATGCGTATTTCGTAAGTTCAGTTGGGTTTACGTCCTGTTTATGCCGACGCATCCATCGACAACTTTTGAGGCCCGATTATGCACTTGATGGCTGTGAGAGTACCTTAAAACTCAACTCTTCGATGATTACAATTCTGATGGGACACCAAGTACAAAGTTTAACTTTGTTATCTCAAAACTCTGTATATAATGGGGTCACTACATAACACCGTTTTCCATCAAATGTTGCTGATTCTGTCATCTGATATTTCTGAACGCCAATCGCAAGCTATAGGATTATCCACTAATTCACTAACATATACAAATGATTAAAACAAGTTTATAATCTGAAAAAATGATTCGAAGAAATTATTTTGATAAAAAATCTGGAAAAGTACTTTGATGAGTGAATAATGATGCTCTTAAAATGTATGAATAAAAGATTTTGTTAAATAATGCTCAAATCTTTTGCAAAGTATTATTTGAAAGATATGTTCCCAATTGAACGCTAGAAAAAAGCTTCTTTTTTAAGTGTTCTGGTTTGAAATTTGCCCTTTTGTCCTATTTAGTTAGTTCAAATTGAAAATCCGAATCAATTTTCGCTGATTTTCGGTTCTTAGTCCACAGCCCAACCCAAAATGACTTTTGAATTAAAATTCCTTTCTTTCTGAACTAAATGAGTAGCGGAAAGATTTTAGGGTTGAAACGAAGGTAATTCTTTCGTCGGAAACAATCCATTAGTTTTTATTACCGGCAATTCAGCCGACTTCAGGGAATATTTTATCTTCTTTTATTTTTTAATCAGTTGAGAAAATAAGTCTCGTTCGATTGATTATTGATTTGTTTTCGCTTTTCAGGTAAAATGATTCCGAAAGCTTTTAACATTATTGATTTTTAATGACTGAACCATTCGAAACGACATTAATCAATTGAATGGATTTTCTTTGTTTCTAGCTCGACAAAATAACTTTTCCAACTCTTGTTCTTCTTCTTCTTCTTCTTCTTCTTCTTCTTCTTTTTCTTCTTCTTCTTCTTCTTCTTCTACTAATAGTAATATTACTGCTGTTACTACAACTACTATTTAGAAATGGAATGATAATGCGTGTAAAATGCATGCAATGGACTCGCATATACAATAATTTATATTAGCTACTATAATCAAAAAAGGATTCATGAGGTGAAATATATAAAAAGAATTTTAAATTAATAACCGATTATCCAGATATTACGATATTAACAAAAATAATACAAACATTATTCTCTCATTAATGCTTGAGTTAATTGCTGACCAATGGAAATTCTTTTATTTCTGATTTACAATGCATTTCTGTAAGAAAAAATAATTAGCAATACATTGAAATTATACATATGATAGCCCTATTGTATCGGTATTTGCTTGCATTCATTCTTGACCACTGACAATAATTTCTTTCTAATTTTCAGTGAATTTCTATAGTAAAATTACTAGTAATGCGTGTTCATTATACATATAATAACACTATCCTGTCATTAACGCATACAACATTCCTGGCGGCTATATTTCTATAGGAATTGCTGTTAGCAATGTATTTAAATTATATATAACAGCCTTATTCTTGAAGTAATGTTTGCATTCATTTTCCGACCACGAGCAATTCTTCTTGATTTTCAAAGCATTTGTATAGCAAAACAATTAGTAATGCATGTTCATTATATATATATATATATATATATATATATATATATATATATTTCGTTTACAGATGCAGTTCAATTTATAATTACATGAATCATTCATACAAAAACAAATATAGAGGTTAATGATTTAAATGGCGAGAATACATCTTCGCAAACAATTTCAATAAGGTACACTAACCCCGAACCTGTATATGAATGATACACGCTTTCGTCTGTTCCTACAGACATCCTCAGGTATGGAAATAGATTTGTTCTTGGTTTTTACTTCTCAGTAATAAGAGGACAACGAAAATAAAGATGTAATCCGAAAAAATGCTATGATAAATGTGTTATTGTTTTGGAACGTGCGGTCGCAATGCTGAGTTTTAATTTTAAATTTGATGGAGAAAATGAACTTTTGTCTGTAGTTTTCAATTGTTTTTTTAACATGAATCTTTTAACCTTCCTTGTGTTGGTCAAACAGTTTCTTTTAAGTTGTTATTTGAGATAAGAGCTGGATGGATCTATGCTTCTCTGAATTCCCCCTGGTCAGTTTGACAGTTTTATTGGTCCTGGAGAGTGGATGTGTCTCTGTTAAGTGTTTGTGTGTGTGTGTTATTTGGTTCTTAGGGAGTGAGTGAGTATGATATGTGTAAGCGTGTGTATTGCTGTGGGTGTGTGTTAACATTTGGCTCATTAGGGAGTGAGTGAGTATGATGTGTGTAAGTGTGTATATTCGTGTGGGTGTGTGTATATGTGTGAGGCCTCAACACCTCCGTAAGCATGTCTGTCTTGTGTGGGTGAGAAATGTGGGTAGGTTTGATTTGTAGAGTTATATATTAGTACGATCTATATTGTTAAATTTATGGTTTAGCCCGGCTGGATATTGTGTTTGTAGACGTTGTATCCACTTATTTTCATGGGACTCTAAAATCTTTCTAATGTTATCTGCTCTGAACTTTTCTATTCTCGCAATTATAGTGAATCTGGCATGGGTTTTGAAATCGTGTTTTTCTAGGCGGAAATGTTGTTCTACAGGTAATAATTGTTCATAGGGAGTCGATTTAATTCGCTTACGATAATTATTAATTCTGTAGTTAAAGGGCCATTCAGATTTTCCTACATATTGTTTCTGGCATAGTGTGCATTCTAGGAGGTAAATTATGTTATGACTTCTACAGTTAGAATCGTGGTAGATTTTGAAAGTAGATTTAGTGACTGAGCTAGTGAATGAATACGTGTGTTTAATATGATTGCAGCATAAACTTCTTTTGTTGTTACATGGTTGGGAAAATCCTGTTGTTTTTGTTGTTAGTTTATTACAGATTAGCTTGTCCCCTAAAATGTGGTTAATACCTATGATTTCTTTTAGGTTCTTAGGTCTATGATATGCTAGAAGGCCGGGTTCCTTAAACAATTTTTTTAGGTCTGGTTTGAGATGTCGTATTTCCCAGCGACGTTTGATTATTTGGGATAATGGAGGCAGAGAGGGATTGAAAGTGGTTGCTAGAGGGATGCGGCTAGATTTATTTTTAATCTTGTACATTAGGGTGTCTTCTCTAGGTGTGGAAATTGCTTTATTTATTTGTTTCCTGATTAGGTGTTGTTTATAGCCACGTGTTGTGAATTGATGCTCCAGATTTTCAATGTATTTATTTAATTCTTCATTGTTGGAACATATCCTTCTGAGTCTAAGTGCTTGTGAATAGGGAAGGTTCTCTTTGAAGTGTTTAGGGTGGGAAGACTTAAAGTGTAGATAGTTGTGGGTGTCGGTGATTTTAATATGTAGTGTCGTTTTTTGTTTCCTGTTTTCATCTATGTAAATGCGGGTGTCTAAAATGTTACTGATGTTGTGGATTTTTCATAGTCAAACTTAATTCAGTCGTGCACTGTGTTTAGGGTCATAAGGAATTGGGTAAGTTTGTCATCACTACCCGTGTATACATCGATATATCTTGCAGAGAATACGCAGTCGCTAACAATAAGGGGATAGATATGGGTCTCCTCAAATTTTCCCATAAATATTGTAGCATATGATGGAGTTGCAATGGTGCCCATGGCACAACCTCTTATATATATATATATATATATAATTGCCTTATTCAATCAATGATTTCTGCAGAAATTCCTTTTCAATGACAGTACAATTTACTGTTTTTCAGTGCATTTTTTTCGTAAAAATCATTAGTAAGGTATTATATTATTATATACATACAATAACTAGTTTCCGCTTTTGATTCTTGCATTAATTTCTGACAACTGACAATTCCTTTTCACAGAATTTTTAATGCATTTTTGCAGTAAAATCATTTGTAAATCCTTTATAGTATTTATAGAATGGCCCAATTCTATTAGCATCGCTTGCATTAGTTCCATTAACAACATGTTTGTTGATTTTTTATGCAGCAAGTTTTGCTCAATTAATTTAGACATGCAACGTTATCTTTCATCCTTTAGTTTCTTGTGCCATACTTGTTTAAGATTCGTCTGTAACTTTTGGGGAGACTTCCTATTGAGATCACAACGTTTTTTCCTTTCAATGTTGATAGACAGTGAGAAAGCAGAATAGAAAATACTGACATTTTAAAGAAGTAAATCACCGATCGATTATAAAATTGATACAAACTTACATTATACTTTTGTTGTGTATGATTAATCCGAGTCTTAGTAATCAATATCTTGAAATGTGTATTAGGCAATGTCTTCCCTGTTGTGAGAGAAATTTGAATCATATACTGAAAATGAAAATTAAATAATTCAATATAAACACTCAGGAAAAAAAAATTATATGAATGTCAGCCTTATGGGAAAAAAAAGAACAAAAAAGAACAAAAAGCATAATTGACACAGAATTGGGAAAACATTACATTCAAGAAAAAAAAAATGAAATCTTTGTAATATTTTTCCTTTCGTAGAGAACGAAGTTATCAATAAACAAATTGAAGCAAATTGTACCAGAGTAATTTAATAAAGACACCCCAACAACACACACACACACACACACACACACACACACACACACACACACACACACACACACACACACATATATATATATATATATATATATATGTATATATATACAAATTGTGGAGGACTGAATCTGTTTACTCTTGTCTAATTTTAGCATTTAACTTAGACTTCTGATATCCGTTGTGGATATCGAAATATAATCCCCACAGTTAAAAAGAAACTACACTATTAAAAAATGACAATATGTCTGACTGTTTTTAACTTTGTATAGTACGCGGTCAGATATCTGTTGTGAGAGGAAATGGTAAGTCAATTTTTTAAGAGGAGACGGACTGCATTGAAAATTCCGCTTTTATATTATCTGCTTTTGATCAGCGACCAAAGCTACTGATTAGAAAGATGAAACTCACGTAGACCCCCCACCCTTTACTTGTCTGTCTGTACAGAAATGTATTCATCCCTAAACAAGGCTTGAAAGTGAAATGAAAGGCACCATCTCATTTGTCATTATCTGAAATCATGCCCCTCGAGAAATTTCAACAATAAAATATTAAGATCTCATTTTTACTTTCAACGCAGGCATCAGTTTTTTAAGCATATATTATCAGATAATAGAGATTCGGCTAAACAAAATCTTTGCAACATAAAGGAGTGACGTATTTCATTTTACCTATTTTTGATTCATTTCTCTATTTATTAACCTCCCCACAAAGCAAGATGTGACACAAGGCCACGTTTTAACATGGGGCGTTCTGAGCCTGTAATCTCGGGCAAAAATTGCCTGTAGACCCCGTATAGACGGGGTTGGGTCCGTCTGCATCCCCAAACAAGTATCTGCTCTTCGGCATAGCCTCGTATGGGTTCCTCTCCGCTCGGAGGCAGAGAGTTCGACAAGAAATTTTTGATTCATTTCTAATTCCTAGGATTTTCTTTAAAAAGCATAAGATAAATAATAAATTTGGTGACGTCATAAAAATTATGATGGATTCGAAAATGTGGTTACGTTTAAGAATTGTAAACACGTCTCAAAACTTAGATTTTCAAAACTATTTAAATTCTCAGTAGACAGTTGAACCTTACCAAGAACTAGCATGGTCGTTGAATATTTTCTTCACCCCTTCAATACAAAGATTAATTGATTGATTTGTGTTTTTTACGGCTTATCAACCCTTTGGGGCTATTTAAAGCCGAAATACATTTAGGATTGAAAGAATGATTCCTTTTACTGCGAGTGAATATTAATAATTTTCGGAGATCAACAACGATACAATTTCTATTATTTAAAAGGGAGAAGATGGGATCATGCCTTTCCTGGAGGTATTTGAACTTAAATGAATGTAAAAAATCTGACTGGAACTGGAACTGGAACTCAACTCCCCGATTTGTCATATCAAAATTTTATCCATTACACCACGCGTACACCCACTCGATAAAAACACAAAGAAACTAATCTACCAACAAAAACTATTATAATAATATAATAATTGCTTTAAATGTAGCTGTTTGAATCAATATTTAATACAAGGGCTGGTTCTTGTAAGCCTTTATCATGCGCAGGTAGTGTAGTGTTTCAGTACTAAAATTCATCATATATACAGGGTGCAATAGATAATTGTCGTCTAAATGATGCAAAAATGAAAATAACATTGACATCTCATTTTAACAGATATATTTACCAAAATTACATGAAAATATCTTCAAATACTAAAGAGTAAATTTGTTCAATAAAATCACCATTGGATTCAACAACTACCTCCTGACGACTTCGGAATCTCCTGCAACTCTTTGTTTAAGTTAGTGAATTCTGTCGTAATCCTTGCCCTCGGTTCATCTTTGTTGTTACAAGGAGTTTGTTGGTCTCTCGCTTAACTGTGCCCCATACAAAATAAACATAAGGAGTTTACAATCTGGGGAGTTAGGTGGCCAGATATAAGAATGATGTCGTCATGACTAGTTTCTCCTGCTTATGTGGCATGATGCAGAGTCCTGTTGCCAGACATAATGTCTTCCAGCAGCCACCGTCTTGACCCAGGGCAGCACTACCTCTTCAAGGCACTTGATGTAGACTTCTGTGTTGAGTCTGAGGTCCTGTGGGAAGATGAATTGAGGTATAATGTCGCAATCACGAGTGATCACTCCAAACACATTCGTAATGATCATTAGACTCATCCAACTCTTCCCCAATCCTCTGGTGTGTCCATAGATTGACACCTAAACACTGAAATAAGCGAATACCAAACAGTACGGCATGCCGTCTCCAAATTTCTGGCGGAATGAATTGCGTCATGATGTTCTTTCTCTCACAGGCCTTGCCCAACTAACCCTAATATACTTTGCAGTAGAAATATCAAAAACAAACAACACGCATGCGCGAAATAAAAAAAGTAAAATTCCGACAATTTACCGATCGCACCATATATATATATATATATGTGTGTGTGTGTGTGTATATATATATATGTAATCTATATATAGATATACACCGATCGCACCATATATATATATATATATATATATATATATATATATATATGTAATCTATATATAGATATACACACGTACAGGCGGAAATACACACACTTACACATGCGCACACATGTTGTTAGATAATTGCTAATATATCCTGACAAGTGTACCGAACGATTAGAAAATGTTTCGTCTCCGAAACTCTGGAGTCGGAGTGCTAAATATAACATCAATCGCCTAAGTCACAAATTTAATATTTGTATTAATCCTATATATATATATATATATATATATATATATATATATATGTGTGTGTGTGTGTGTGTGTATGTGTGTGTTTGTGCGTGTGTTTGTGTGTGGGTGTGTGTATGTTTGTGTGTGTTTGTCTATGTACAGGTTACTGTCTAAAAGATGAATTTTAACAGATTAAGTAAACTGTTCACCTCTAAAGTTGTCCGAACCTTCTCTTCGACTTTTTTCATCATATATATGCATATTTCAATTATTACAAATATTGTATGAAAGAAATTAGATTATGTAAAAGTTGAGATGATAGAAAGTAAGGATACTGATTTACCAATAGATGGAGAGTATAGACCTTCACACACAAACACATATACACACACACATATATGATATACGAATCTATATATCAAATTAATAATGAATGATGAAATGGAAAAAAAACCTAGATAAAAGGGACGTTTGATTAATATATTTTAGGGATTTGATTTTTTTTCTGTTTATAATCTCATTTTGAGTTATTCAGAGCCGACATATATTTTGGGGTTTTCTAAAAATAGTTATTTGATTTTTACAATTATATATTTGAATTAATAAGAATAACCGTTTTTCCAAAATGCAAGTTCTACTGTTTAATCCATAGCTAAAGGGAGGAGATTGATTCATTCCTTTCTCAAGCGAATGTAAAGAAACTGATGTTAATTCGAACACGGCTCTCTGATTTCGTATTCCATGTCGATATCCATTACACCACCCGTACATCCACTACACAGGTAGGTAGGAACATATACAACAAACGTCGGTTAAAAACTTTACATACAGGAGCGCTTAGCTTTAAATTTAATTTTTAAATATAAATACTAAAAGAAAACTTCCTAATAAAATGTGGAATGTTTAAAGATAATAGCGATGAAAAATAAAGACAAACGCAATATGACGTTGAATGAGTTAGATATTTAAATATATCGGATGCCAAATGCTTGATATGCCGGATGCCAATAATGAGATATGTCGGATGCCAAAAAAAAAAAAAAAATTAAGGCTATACGTCCCAGCATTTCTTTTTCATTTTGTAACCGCTATTTGTAGTATTTCCCTCATATATATATATATATATATATATATATATATATATATATATATATATATAGGGTAAAAAATTCATTGGTATATAAATAATCCCAGTGGATCCTAGTAATAAGAAAATATTAGAACTGATCCACAAAATCCGCTCGATGTATTTTCTTTAATTTATACTGAGCAATATAATTAATAATCAAACAAATCATTTTATCTCATATGGGTAACAGGCTCTTTCGGCAAACGACGAAAGTAGTCGTCTGTTTTTTCAACTCCGGTATAGAATGAAATGAAGTTCATATCTGTAAAATTGAAGGAAGGTGGGATGTAGCAGTTAACAGATTTCCCCAAAGAAAATATGGAAAATAAAAAGTTTACATTGGAATATCTGCGGTGGAATGGAAACAAATATTTTATATCCATAAATCCTCATTCTCTAACCCTAAACTTAAACACCAAACAACTCTTTCAAAAATAATTTGGAAATTGAAGGTCGAAAACTTAAAAACACAGAATGGTTTTAGAGATAAGTGTGATTTATGATTAGAAGAAAAAAATAAAAGGATAAAATGCAATAATGAAAGCGAACTATTGAATTAGAGAAACGAATTAGTGGTTATATGTCGATATAAAAACAAATTCAAATTTCCATAAGATAATTTTGCCATAATTAGCGCCCCCAAATCATTCTCCAACTTCCATCTCCCCCAACTATTCAAATATCGTTAAAATAAAACAAAAACTAATTCTAATTCCCATAACGGTATTTCTCCCCCTCCCACCTTTTATACAATATCAATTATAATTTATAAACTTTACTCTACTTAAAATATTTACCTAATTCTCTTTTCATTAATCCCTCATGTCTCTTTATATATTTAAATTTTAAGTTTATTTTTGGGGTTCGTTTTTAATTCCTTCTTTAAAGTTAAGTTAAAAATTGTGTTTTCTTCTAATACCCTCAATCTGT